CCAACCTAGTGGGTTTAATACCTTATGGATTTTCACCAACAGCACAATTTGCATTACCATTAGGTTTATCTGTAACTATAATATTAGGTGTAACTATTATAGGTTTTCAAACTCATGGTTTTGTATTTTTTTCTGTATTATTACCATCTGGAACTCCATTAGGTTTAGTTCCTTTATTATTAGTTATTGAATTATTATCATATTTTTCAAGAGCTTTTAGTTTAGGTATACGGTTAGCAGCTAATATAACATCAGGTCATATATTATTAAATATATTTTCTGGTTTTATGTTTAAAGCTAGTGGTTTAGTAATATTATTTACTATTATACCTTTTACTTTATTTATATTATTAATGGGTTTAGAATTAATGGTAGCTATATTACAAGCTTATGTATGGAGTATATTAACATGTATGTATATAAAAGATTCAATTATATTACATTAATAAAATAATTTATATAATACTCTTATAAGTTTTATTTATAAATTCTTTTTATTTTTTATACACTCTTAGCTTAATTGGATTAGAGCCTTAGTCTTCGAAACTAATAATTATGGGTTCAAATCCCATAGAGTGTAATTAAATAAAGAATAATAAGGCGAATATAATTTAAAGGTAGAATAACAATTTGTGGCATTGTTTATATGGGTTCAATTCCCATTATTCGCCTAAAGGGATTTAGCTTAATAGGAAGAGCATTTATCTTACAAATAAAGTGAGGTAGTTCGAATCTACCAATTCCTAATATAATTATAAAAAAATATAAGAAAGAGAGAAAGTAATAAATTTAGGGTAATTTAAATTAAAAAAAAAAATGTATACTGCTTTTATATTTATACCATTAATTAGTGCTATTGTTTCTGGATTTTTTGGTAGATATATAGGACAAAAAGGTAGTGAAATATTAAGTACCTTATTAATTGGAATAACAGCGATATTTGGTATTATTATATTTTATGAAATAGGTATGGGTGGATCACCAGTGGCTTTTACTTATATAAATTGGATTGATAGAGAATTATTAGTAATAAATTGGGGTTTATATATGGATAGTTTAACTGTATCTATGGGTTTATTAGTAACATTAATATCAACATGTGTACATTTATATTCCATAGGATATATGGATGGAGATCCTCACAAACAAAGATTTTTTTCTTATTTATCATTATTTACATTTTTTATGCTTTTATTAATTTCAGCTGATAATTTATTATTTTTATTTATTGGTTGGGAAGGTATATTACAATGCCTTAAATGATATAATAATTATAATAATTGAGATACATACATATTTGGGAGTGTAATAAATATATCATTAAAACAGAATAATATAATAAATGAAGATAAAAAAATATCTTTTTTTACATATACTGATATAAAAATTTATTCTTCTAATAGAATAGGTCCTCATAATCAAGATATTATAAATATTATTTTTGGTTCTGTTTTAGGTGATTCACATTTAGAAAAAAGAAATAAAGGTCAAGGAACAAGAATAATATTCGAACAATCTAATAAAAATATTGAATATTTAAGATGGTTTCATTCTTATTTCGCTGAAAGAGGTTATTGTAATTCCAATTTACCTAAATTACATAAAAGAATCAAAAAAGATGGAATATTTTATCATTCTAGAATAAATAGTTATACTTTTAGTAGTTTAAATTGGATATATGAAAAATTTTATAAATTAGATTTAAATAATAAATTAATTAAAATTATTCCTAATGATATTGAAAATTATCTTACTCCATTATCATTAGCTATTTGGTTTATGAATGACGGATCAAAATCAAATGATATAGTTAGAATAGCAATAAATAATTTTACATTACAAGAAATTGAA